GAAAAGTTTATCCACCACTAATATTATACCCATTTATTGGTAAATTTTGGTAACTCACACAAAAAGGTATTGGATACAAGACATATAAGATATGTGCTATCAAGGTAGTTTAGACATCTGAACAAAGAACACAACACAATAAAACGAAATTAGTTACCAATTTCTTTTCAGAGTTCGAGCCCAGTTCAACTCCCCTATAGTCAAGAAAGACTTCCCTTGACACGGTAAGTTGAATTAGGCCCAAGTCACCCCAGCCACATCCAAACTTGAGGTTGTGCATGCTTTCAAAACCCAGAAAGTATTACAAGTACAGTAAAATCCCTATTATCCAGCATTTGAGTAACCAGAACACTCTGTTAATCAGAATTTCTAGCCAACTGGCCAGACACAAGTGGAGGGAGTGGGGAAAGCTCACACATGGCTGCTGCTGCCACTTACCACCCTGCACTGTAGCTGCTTGGCGTGCAGCCACTGCCATCCCCCCACCCCCTGCTCCACAGATGGCCACCACCACTCCCCCCATCATTTTTAGATACCCAGCACCCCCCATTTACCACTCATGCCGGATAACAGGGATTTTACTGTATTTATCTTAGAAAAAAGCAGTATTCTCTCATGCGTGTACTATACAAGGGAGACTGCACCCTTAGGTACCACTGGCCCCTTCTTCTGTTCCTACTGCCTGAAATAACAGAATCTGATGAGCAAATACAAAGGGTGTCAGTGTGAATCTGTGTGTGCAGCATATAAATCTCTTTAACTAGTGGTAGGCACTTTCTCTCCCTCGTTAACAGTCCCATTCTGCCATGCCTCATAAAGGCAGTAGCAGAAGCCACATGGACTTAACAGAAATTCATTATGGGTTTAAATGGTTTCTACAGAGTCCACCCCCTTGCACTTTTGGAGACTGACTTCTTTCAAAAATAACCCTAAGAGAAGTAGCAGAAAGATGGAGGAGTAATTAACTGTAAGTTTAATCAACCAAGATTTCCTCTCACAAAATTAACAGTTACACCGAGTAAAAGGTATTGCTACAAATCAAACCCCATGTACCATTATTAGTTACTGCACAGATTCCAGAAATGTTTATCAAGGCAAGCCTAGAGTAGTTACCAAGCTTCTAGTCAAACATGCATATCTCCTCATGCCTGAATGCACACCTCCTTACAGATTGAGTGCATTGCTACCTCATATTTCAGCAAGCTCTTCAATGTGATAACATTCCCTTGCAAGATACTACTGGCTTAGTTTTACTGTATAAGTCAAAAAAATGCTACGTACAGTGAGATACAAAACTAAGTAAAAAATCAGTAGTCTAAACTTGATCATAGCAGAACCACACTTTGACTGGCTCTCACCCTGCTGCAAGGAGTCCAAAACAATCAAAAGACATTTGGCAGAATGGGCTTATTAACCTTGAAACATTTAGTGACTTAAGAGTTTTAATGCGACAGGTCCTGGTTTTGTTGTTTAATTTTTTTCCTGACTTTTGCATCTTGGACGTCTGCCAGACTATATCTTGCTTATGGTACTCTGCTTAGCCATCTGTTGCTCAGACCAAGCAATCTTTGGTATAAACTTAGCCTAATAGCTTTATGTATTCAGATCTCTTTCTTCCATAACCAACTGTGAATAAAATTGTTCATTAGTATATAGCACAAAACTCAGTTACCTGTATATCAAGTTGGGATACTTTCTCTTTGCTTTCACTGAGCTGGCTATTTAGTTCAGCAATGTTTGTTTCCAGGGAGAGCACACGGTCTTGAGCAGCTCTTAGATGTGCTTTCTGCTCCTGCACCTGCTCATGCAAATTCTCTTGGGCTTGCTTATGACTTTCTGACTGATTCTTCAGCTTCTCTGTTAGCTGAGTGACCTACAAGGGAAACAAGATGTTAATTAGAAGAAATAAAAGAAACCCTAACATTCAAATGTTATCATAATTTTATGATCCAAACTTGATATTAACTCTTGGAAGGTTCTCTTTCTGGACTTCATGACCACTTGACAAAAGTCCCTGCTC